GGTTATTTTCACACCTTTTGAAAAAATATGCATTATTTATGAAGTATGCAAAATATGTCATTTTTGGTCATTTTGGGGCAAAGGGCATGGAATATAGCCCATGATTTTAGTCGATTTTGGTCCATTTTCACACCATTTGAAAAAATATGCATTATTTATGAAGTATGCAAAATAGGTCATTTTTGGCCATTTTGGGGGAAAAAGCATGGACTATAGGCCATGGTTTTAGTCGATTTTGGTCCTTTTTCACACCTTTTGAAAAAATATGCATTATTTATGAAGTATGCAAAATAGGTCATTTTTAGCTATTTTTGGGCAAAAAGCATAGACTATAGCCCATGGTTTTGGTCGATTTTGATCCATTTTCACACCTTTTGTAAAGATTAATGAATATATGATATTGAACAAGGTATTGAGAATATGTTGTTTTTAATCATTAAGATTTTCTACTTTGTTACTCGAAATTATAATGTTTTTATGAAAATGAAGAATATTTATGTGCTTTAGCTGAGGGGGGCCTACATTTTGTTGAGCTTTTCTTGTTTTTGACTGAGACAATAGCTTTACGAACTTAACATTCACTTGTGCAGGAGCTTTCACAGTCAAATTAAAAGCTTGTCCCAATAACAACTAAACAATTTAAAGAGTACTACAAGTATTATGAGGCAATCTTTCTTATTTTAGGTAGAAAATTTATAATCTACTTTCCACTTTCTCAGTTTTGAATTTTGAGATATTCTAGATTTTTTGTTAAGTTTTGTGATATGAAACTAACTAAATACTACTTGCTATTCTCTTTGATGGTTCAAAAGATGAAGGATGAGACAGATGATGCCAACAAGGTGATCACTACAGATGGAATAAGGGTGCTGCCTAACTGGACAGGTTTCGTGACTTTGTCGTTAGGATTCCCTGGACCGTCGAATCTCATCACCATGCAGTTAGAAGATTCCTCTTGCTTGAAGGATGAACCCCACATCTTGTTGCACAAGCCTTTACCATCTCCGTACACCTTATGAAAAAAATAGGAAGAGGGTTTTAGATCTTTTCGGCTTGGGTTTAACAGTTTCCCATTTCAGATCTTGTGTCATTCCCTTGAGTGTTATTTCTTTCTTTACTAGGAATGCTTTTCAGCTATGGTGCAATGTTTTTGAGTTGTATCATTATTCATGTTTATTCTCATAGGCAAACATTAAACAAAGAAATAATACTCAAGGGAATGACACATGGTCTGAAATGGGAAAACATTGCACCATAGCTGAAAAGCATTCCTAGTAAAGAAATAAAATAATACTCAAGGGAATGACACATGGTATGAAATGGGAAAACATTGCACCATAGCTGAAAAGCATTCCTAGTAAAGAAATAAAATAATACTCAAGGGAATGACACATGGATTGAAATGGGAAAACATTGCACCAGAGGTAAAGAGGTCTATTGGATGTTTAGGATCAGAAGTCCTGTTCATAACAGAAAAGACTATCCCATCAAGCAATACATCCCAGTTGCAATCATCTATTTAGCTATCTTTTTCATTCTATTCCTTTGTGTTTCCAACCATTGCATTCCATACAATTCCATGCATCCCTCCATCAATCCATCCCTTTTTCCATCCATTTATCCCTCCATCCCTCTATCCATCCATCCATTCCATCCCTCTATCCATCCATCCATCCACCCATCCATCCATCCATCCATCCATCCACCCATCCATCCCATCCATCCATCCCATCTACCCATCCCATC